TCTGGTGTGTGGTGGTCTGAGTTGTGGGGTGGAGGTGTGGTGGGTGGAGTGGTGTGTACTGTGGGGTGCCGGTGTGTGCGTGTGGTGGAGGGTGTGCGTGGTGAGGGCCATTGTGTGGGTGGAGGTGTGCGTGGGTGGGCCGGCGTGTAAGTGTGCAAGTGGGTGGAGGATGTGGTGGGTGGGGAGGGCTGTGGGGTGCGGTTTGTGGTGGTGGAGGTGTGGTGCGTTGTCCGTTGTGGTGGGTGAGGTGGGTGCGTGAGTGGGTGGAGGATGGGTCGGAAGTGGTGGGTGAGGTGGGTGGAGGTGTGGTGGGTGGCCGCGTTGGTTGGGTGGAGGGTGTAACATTCTAGTAATTTCTACAGATCATGACACGTTGCATGGGCTATTTATTTTTTTCCAGTTTTATTTTTTTCACATTCCACGTTCAAAAACATTAAAATAGTGGGAATTTTTTGCATGGCAACGTCACAACAACACGAAAATACGACGCCACCTATCGGATCTTATATGTGCTAATATTTTTTATTTTTGTTTGTTTATTTATTTATTTTTAGTTTTGAACGCCGTCTCCGCACCGCTCAACGGATCCTCTCCAAACTTGGTCGGAACATTCTAGTAATTTCTACAGATCATGACACGTTGCATGGGCTATTTATTTTTTTTCAGTTTCATTTTTTTCACATTCCACGTTCAAAAACATTAAAATAGTGGGAAATTTTTGCATGGCAACGTCACAACAACACGAAAACGACGACGCCACCTATCGGATCTTATATGTGTTAATATTATTTTTTTAAATATTTTTTAAATATTTTTTTTTTTAGTTTTGACCACCTAACGGGCATGGACGGGTATGGCTAGTTATCCCTAATTGAGCATCTCGTTAGCGGCTATTAACGTGCCTGTCTCTCGAGCAAGGGCGGAGACCATGAGCAAGCACGAACGCTCACGGTTTCCCCGTGTACACGCGCGTAGCCTAAGCAACGCCGATTAACCCCCCCCCTTCCCACACACACACATTTTAAAGCCAACTGTGCTTTCTCCTTCCACTCCACCCTCACTACTACTTTTCTCGACACTCACGAAAAATGCGCACAAAAATCTATGCCGGCGTCTAGTTTTGCAACACAGGCATTTACGCATGTTAACGTATGCTGTCCCACGCGATCGGACCGCGTGCAGATAAAAGTGCCGTCCTGAATTTCGACAATCAATAAAGCATTTACACGCGCGCAATGCCAACACTCGCTCACTGCATTATTAAAGTGTGTATTGCGATATTTTTGCTCAGAAAAACTAAATATAGCTGAATATAGTCTCACCTGACAGCGAAAATATCACTGATTACACCAACATTGAAAATACTAAGATTTTATGCAGTTATAGCATAGAAAATTGGATATGAACAGCAATGCATTTTATCGTGTCGCGATAATGCCTAATGTCAGAATTGGTAAACTTGTATTTGTGTCTGTGATTAATTTAAAACAAGTGCATGATTTGAGAAAGCCTGTACATTGTCTATGGCAGATAAGCGGTGGCGCCACTAGCTAATCCATACAGGTTTCCGGCTAGTTTCAAGATGACAACAAATGCTTGTTTACCAAACTAGTAGTTCGAAACTGGCACTTTTTTGGTGAATACGAAGGTTCTAAGACATTTTATTGTTACTCTAGACAATTGCTGTTACTCAAGCAATCGAGTAAGTTACGTCAAATCGCAGACGGGGCCGCCGCATGGCAGCGAGCCCGTCTTAATCGACGTAACGCCTCTCTATTATCTCACTCACCTTGTCTCCACTTGAGTAGAAAAAGTACAAAAAGCTCACTATATTACAGTGCTCCAATCTCCTCATTATTTGTAATTCTCGATTCTGGAAAAGAAGAGGAAATGATGAAGAAATGGGGAGCATTAATTGTCATCTCTGGAATTTCGCGAGTGAACGCACGTGATTCGCGATAGACAATCGTCCGCAGGTCGCCCGCGTGCGAACACACACAAGATGCGCTGTTCATTACCACCCCCGCAGCATACGAACGCGATGCTGGAACGCCTGATTCTGAGAATGTGAATCGCAACAAGAAACAATGCTTTACTTGGCCTAAATCAAAACAGTAGTGCACGTGCTATCCATTCGCTACCTATCAGCTGTGGGTGTAGATAGGGATGGCGGGAGAGAGAAAGATATGAAAGTGATGAGAGTAGGTATGTGTGCACGCGCCTGCGTACATGTAAAGCTCACCAATAGTAGAGGTATAGTCCGTCGCACCGAATATCAACTCCGGGGCTCTGTAGTAACGTGAACAGATGTAGGAGACATTCGGTTCTCCTTTCACCAGCTGCTTCGCACTGCAACCAGTCAAACACGTACGTTAGTCTACCTTGTGTGGTGCGTGCACGCACATGCGAGTGAGTGCGCGCTCGCACGTGCGTGTGTGTGCACGCACGCGTGTGTGTGCACGCACGCGTGTGTGCGTGTGTGCCTGCGCGTCCGTGTGCATATATGTCAGTGTCAATGTATTTATCTGTAACTGAGTTCTGCGTGTCTGTTTACTGCATACGAACGCACACAGATAAAGAGCTGCTTCAAATGCCAGGTAACTGTACCACAGCAATGTCACGCCGAAGTCAATGACACAGTGACACCGCCCAACCACTAATTGGAATCGGATGAACATGGCAGTAAACAAACGTGACATGAAAACGAGGGGAAAGTCCTGCGGCACTCAAAATCAGGAAGCGAGACGTAACTACAGCGACATTGCAATCACGGAGTGCGACACTAGACTCACGTACAGCCATGACGTAAACACACAACCACACCTCACACACAGCTACATGTAAACACACAACCACAACTCACACACAGCTACATGTAAACACACAACCACAACTCACACACAGCTACATGTAAACACACAACCACAACTCACACACAGCTATGATGTAAACACACAACCACAACTCACACACAGCTACACGCAACCACAACTCGCGTATAGCTACGACGTGAACATGGAACTGAATATAAACGAACGACACACAATTTGCACCTCTAAAGAGCATGAGAGATGGCTTACCTTCCGAAATCACAGAGTTTGAGCACTGCAGTTTCAGGATCAAGCAGCAGATTCTGAGGTTTGATGTCCCGATGGCAGATTCCCAGTGCGTGTATGTAGGCTAGGCTTCTAAATAGCTGATACAAATACAGCTGCAACAGATAAAAACGCGCGCGCGTGAATACAATCAGATCACACGTTGTCAACCTGCTTCCCGGGACGAACAAAGACGACAGAAGGAGTCAGGCCACTCTAGCATTCGCGATGCATTACTCAACGTTCACGGATGCTGTGGTTACGACTGATAGTACTACAACTGCAGCATTACCTACTCATCCAGCATCCCTCATTACAGTCCAGGGGAGTAGTTGTGCATGCTCACTTTGCAATCGTTAGCTTCATCATGTGTCATCAATTTTACATTAAATGTGAAAAGATGAGACAGAAGATAACAGTAGTACTCTAGTTTCAGACCGATCATAGATTTCTAGACGGTGATATCATATTGTTAGAATGCGAGCATTGAGGGTCGTTCCTGTCGCGTGTGATATCTATATATCTGTTCATATATAGCTATTAAGGTGAAAAGCTCAACTATAAAGCTGCCTATCGTACGTGTGCGCAGCAATAACGTTTTCGTTCATTTTTAGCCTACCGACAAGCACTAGATAAACACGACAGACAGGTGAATGATGATGACACCTGCACTGACAGACGCACGCAGACTCCCCACCCCCACCCCAAACAAACAGGATAATGAAGCCCCACTTCGATGAGCGATTAGGCAAATTAGCTGCTAGGCGCGGAAAAATCCATATTGCCCGCACACAAGCACAACATCATCTGTGAGTCTCAAGCGCTCTTAAGAGCCATCGCCATTTATTTACCTGGTCGTGTTATTGATGTCGGGTAAAAAACATGTCGGCGGGCTTGATTACATAATATTGTTGCCGTGACGACACAGGCGTGCGCACAATCGCCGCAACGACACACGCACGCACAAGGTTACCGTGATGGCAACAATGCATGCACGGTCGCCACGACGACGTCAGTGGCGAACATACGGCTGCAGGTACGACGTTAGCCGCGCGATCACTCTCTTACCTTTATATACAAAATGGGAACGGTCTGTTTGGTTTTGCTGTAGTGTCTCGCTACCCTGTACACAGTCTCCGGCACATACTCCAACACCAGGTTCAGATAGACCTCGTCCTTCTGCAAGAAAAGCCACGCGACCTTGAGTGGCTGACTCAAACACACGTGGGGCTGCGGCTGCCGTCGTATCGCGATCCCCACAGACACCCTCCCCGCCAGCTGTGGGACGTGCAGCTACGGCGCAGGCATCAGCTGTTAGTTCACCGCCTACACACCACCCAGCAGTACTGCGAATGCAGAGCTCGGAGTGACCGTAAATGACCACCGAATGTTTAGCTGCGTGCGCGGTGGCACCAGTTGAGCGACGGTCGTACGCGCAGCCGAGATTATCTCTCATCTTACTATAAATTGGAGATTTTCTGTGTGTGTGTATGTGTTTCCGGCTATACGTTTCCGCACCGCTCGACGGATCCTCTCCAAACTTGGTACGAACATTCTACAGATCATGACACGTTGCATGGGCTATTTTTTTCAGTTTTATTTTTTTCACATTCCACGTTCAAAAACATTAAAATAGTGGGAAATTTTTGCACCGAGCGCGGG